TTAAGCTCCGCTTTCACGGTTTCTGCACTGCCATCATTGATCCGCAAACATAAGACGGAGGCTAGTCTACGTCAGCTCTGACACAATTACACTGTATTGTATGCAATTAAGTGTGTGCAATTGTATGTAATTGAGATGTCAACTTTGCTCGTCCACAGTAGAAAAGTGTGAAGAATCGGGCTTTTGTTTTATGGAAGAGTCCTAAACAACCCGAGTGGGTTTCAACTCTGTTATCTTATTTAAACTTCTATTTGATAAACCACAAACACCGCTCTCACAAACCCTAGCGTTTAAGGGACCTAGCTCTTGAAAATAATGAAATCTGTTTTGTTGTACAGCATGCTATCTGCGGCAGTCGATCTATGCGCCACTCAGAGAGTCCCTCTAGTTTTTGCATCTTTCAGCTTTTGGAGCGTTTTTTTGGGAACCTTTTTCCTATAGGCTGGCCGTTTGTAGTTCAAATGCGCAGACTTTAACATGCCTTCTTGACATGCCATCTCCATCTATGGCAACTACCACTGTTGTAACCACTAATGGTCCCTCTAGCCGCCTTGGAGGCCAGATGTTTGAACAAGTTGACTTTAATAACGAAAGGATTAATATGTTTGACCATGAAACTCGGGAAGATGGGCTATATGACCACGGAGTCGTAGCGTTTTGAGCCTCACTTCTAGAGTCTAAATCTCCTTCCAGTGTCTTATATAATGAGCCCTCTCAAAGTACAGTTTTTAACAAATCTGCCTTGGGACAGGCATCCGGGGATTAACAGGTCGAGTACGATTTGCAGGCCTTTTCGTTCCGCATCTCTGTGTACGTGTTTCTAACTTCAGCCCTCTTTTTCCGTTCCACCGTCTTTCAGAAACTATGCGATATCTCGTGGGTACCACCTTCGGGCGCGGCGTCTTCTTCGATCGGGTCAAGAAGCAGGTCATGAAACAGACAAAAGGACTCTATCCCGCACCCCTTAGGATAATTGAGGTAAAAACCCTACAGCGGGTCGCACCATATTCAATTATATCGTCTGGTTTTATGGTAGCTTCTTACAAGAGACTATGACCGAAGTTGCGTAGAGCGTCCTAGCCAGTGATTCATGAGATATGAGGAAAGCAAGGCGTGGCGGGATCTTTTGGCTTGCTGTCTATTGTGCACGGGAGAGTTTTCTATCTATCTGCTTGCAGTGCGAAGTATGCTCATCCCGATTACCAGCTTAAGGTCGATAGATGATCCTCCCTTGCTACTTAATACTTCCAGTCGCAGTTAATGATTTCACCCGATTCCACTCCGATCTTCTTGACTCTGTCCTAACGCTGGGCCCAGGTTGGTGAAGGAGGAAAGAGTGCGGTAGATGCAGCGAAAGTCCACTATCACTATAAACTAATTCACGCGTAAGTCACCGTCCCCGCGCCTATCCTGTTGTGAGGCACACGACCGAGCTGCCAGTTAGAGATTTCCGGCGAGTCCAATTTTAACTCTGCATGCATACTGCCAGTGGGGACGGACTGGATCGGGATCCACGTAATTACCCTACTGACAGCACAGGTTGTAGCTAAAAGTCCAGACACGCGTGTTGCGCAGATTTTCTGCCGCTGCCTGTCGCAGCTGCGACGAATTCAGCTCGTCAGTGGGTCTCCCAGCGTTCTCGTGAGTTTTCTGGTATATGAACTCGAGTTCTACCTGGCCATGTTTAATTTCCGAGGAAATTAATGCATGAACTTGGAGTGAATTCCTTCGGAACAGACCTTCCAACTTCCGGACCGAGTCTATGAAGGTCTGTTCCGAAAGATTTGCTCAAATTTCGCGCATTACTTTTCTCAGAAATTAAATAAGGCTGGATCTGGATCCGGCACCAATCGGGATATGCACCAATAACAAATGCCAACATTGAGGGTGTCTCCAGTGTTGGTACTTTGTGCGCCAAGTTGCAGGCTCACGCCGCACTGGTTAAGACAGAAGCCGCCCTCTTTTCTTATTATGTAGAATCCTGGTTAGGGTACCTTGTGGACTAGAGATTGTGGTGGTACTCCTAGGTTTTCACCGTGCCATCCACATGCACTATCTCCCGTCTCTGATCTTCTTGTCTCTGTCATGCAACCGGGCCCAGATTGGAGTGGAGGAGTGCGGTAGATGCTGCGCAAGTCCACTATCGCTGCAAACGAATTTACACGCGAGTCAGCGTTCGTGCTCCCACCAGGCTGTAGAGCACATCGTCGGCAACGACGGTCGGACTGTCTAGTAGTATTACTGCACAGAAGCTCACATCTGGTGGGTTCGTAAGTAGAGCTGTGCTGAACAGACTTATATTCCTTTGAGGTAATTCGAATCATCAACAAAACTGCGTGCATGATTGCCCAGCTACAGCCATCTGTCGTCGCCTGAAGAACTTCTGCCGCATAAAACAAGTGTTGCCCAAACCGGTTCCGTGTGGACAAGGGGTTAGACTGTTGGCTAGGGATGTAGGTAATATGTACGGGACATCATGTTTTGCCTCTCTCCACTCAACGAAGCTGCGCAAGATCGGTTCGGGGAAGGTGGCAACAGGGACTCCCCAGTTTGTTGGCTCGGAGCCATCAAGTTTTGCCGAAGTCATTCCGGTTCTGTCGCAGTTAAATTGTCGACCTTTCCAGTTACTTTCACTGTCTGCGTCTGGACAGCTGGACGTCCCTGTTCTCTATTCATCTTAATCTTTTAGGTTATGAAGACGTCTTTGACCAAGGGTCCCGCCGTGGGTTATCAGGAGGAGGCTAAGGCGTTCGGTCAACTCGCAATGACCCCAGAATCCAAGGCCCTCTTTGGCCTCTTCTTTGGACACTCGGAGTGCAAGCGTCGCCGATTCCCAGACCCAGTGAAACCTGTCAAGTAGGTCTCGGTCCTCTAAATGATGGCTCGTATGAGCTCGTGTACTGTTGATTCTTACCCTTACTCACCTTCGATAGTTGATTCTGGAATGGTTACTTCTGTCGAAAGAGAGAGAGAGTCAGTAAATATCAGCTTTATCAACCCCATGTTCCAGACTTTTGATGGAAACAGGGATGAGACCCGACGTCACCTTCAAGGGCAGAGGAGAGGCGACCGACGTCGTTCTGTTTTTTTTCGCACTCTTCGTGTTCTGACTGGCTCTGACCCTGGTCGCGTCGGCTGCCGCTCACGTGTACGTGGCTCACTCGACTCCAATTGGACTTCGCTAAGACACCTGACCTCTTTTTAGACCCTGCCCAGTGGTGCCACAGATTTTGCTGACCCTGAAGACGCCGATTGTTAGTTTGCCGAAATTTGCGATATCGATCACTACCCGGAGAGGCAACGATGGCCTGCTCGTGTTCTGCGCAAAAGTGAGCGGGACGTGTGCATCATTACTTTCCAGATGAGAAGACGAGATCATGACAGCCGGACGCCCGATCACGCATTTGTCCCTTTATGCGTGTCGCACACGCGTCGGTGAACTTGATTTTATAAACTGGGATCTCACTGGGATCAGCGGGCGTCAGGTAATGAAACCAAAGGACCCGCTGCCACGGCAAGAAACGTTTGGAGTCGTTTATCGGATCTGAGGCAGTTGCGGACAAAGCGACTACGTCGGAGAAACCGGAAAACAGCTCCGAACGCGAATAACCGAACACGCTGCAGCGTTGCGGGGAAGTGGCGCCAGCTCTCAAGTGATGGCTCATTCGACGAGATACGGCACACACTGAAATTCTTGTCAGGGATGACATCCGCGTGACCCGGGAGCTGCCTGAGTCATGGTTTACTGGCCCCCAGTCCACTAACAAGTGCAATGACTTTCACCTTCTACTACTCGCCTAGGCGGAGTAGTTAGCCACGCGGGGAGCGCACAGGTGAACACTGTTCCCAACGCCAGGGTCGGTGGCCTAGATGGTCGAGCAATCATCACGCCAACATCCAACGCACGTGGTGAAATTGCAGCAATTAACGACGCAAATGTCGGCCATCAAACAGTCATCACAGCACATGCGACGGTCCCTAATGAAAGGAGGGAGCCGTGAACATTCATAGGTATGCGGTAGCATGGTGACTGCATCCTATAAATACTGCAGCCCCTTGTGCATGAACCACCCGTATCTGCTTTTGTCTCTGACGATGAGTTCGGGCAGGAATCGGAAACGTCAGGCTAATAAAGCTCTTGTCCCCAGCGATCGTGTCTCCTTCTTCAAGACCCGTGAACTTAATTTTATAAACTGGGATCCCACGGTGGTACGAGTTTCCGTATGACCAAATGGAAGAGGATTCATTGTTCCTGACCCTCAGTAAGGCCACCGAGTTTTTCGGACACTTAGAGGCCGTCCAATTCACTGAATGTAGCTCATTGTGATGGTTTAAAAGCTCACCAGACTTGTTAAGGTGGGAAGTGGTCGCATAGCATGATCAAACTTTGTTCACCAGTGCGAGTCGGGACCAAACTGACTGGAGATAAGATCAGACGCATTGGTTGGCGTGGTGCACGCCTGTTCAGTCCTCGTCTAGGTTTGAAGCAGGAATGCCGCCCATCTTTGGAACCGGAAAGCAAGTGGTAGGGACGGAAATACAGAAAGGGATTTCGGTCCTTGTAAAATTCGTTTTCTAGACCGTTGCATATTCACTTATTCGTTGATGGGGTACCTATCACCTCAAATTTATCACAGGTGATCACAAATGATGTGATAGCTGCTTAACAACCGCCCCCATTGGTACAGTCCGCCGCGGGCTCTTCATCCGTACACCCCCATGCGGATAACTAGAGCCTCCGCCCGAAGTTTCAGTTTTTGGCGAATTTGGAGGACGTTTTTGTGGCGGCTAGTAAACTAATGTCCTTTCGCTCATCAGCTACCTGCATCTTGAGTGTCTGTCTTGTCAGCGACTGCGCCACGTGTAAGGTTTACGGTCCCTGATGTGTAATGTCGTAGGGGGCCCTTCTTGAGTCGCATCACGCGAGACGAAGGTGGGTCAAGTCCCCCGCGAGAATCGACCAGTCGACCAGCTTTTCCCCATTCGGTTAAAGAATCGCCGTGGCGCCAGTCCAACAGTCGGTGTTTTTTTATTATTTTACTGTTACTTCAATGTTATCCTGCCTATCAACCCAGGTGGAATAAGTCATAGATGTTCAGGCGCCCGTTTTGGCTTTGCATTGACACGCCTCCCTCAGGTACTGTTAAGGCGTCGCCGAACGTGAGGCAACATCCTTGTTGTCGGGCTGTCACCCGCGACAGGGAACCCCCCCCCCCCCAGGCCGCAGGTCAGTCTCGCCTACCAAGGATGCGGCGTGAGTCAGAAATTAGCTCGCCACCGGGATGCGGGCAACCTTTGGGGACCGGCGAGGGTTTGTCCACACGGGCGTCAGGGGTCAACCAATGGGAATACGTGAGTCAGACAGGAACATGACCCTTAAATACGACGTCATGGACAGAAGGACTACAACGCTATTTGGCTGGGTTCTCGGGAGGGCCCTACACGAAGATGTCGGTGTCGAGTTTGCACCCGGACACTGACTGACTGATCTCGACTATGCCTATGATATCGCCTTACTTGCTTCAAGTTTTGGTGATCTGCAGTCTATCGTGTCACGGGTAAACGAGGTCACTATATCGGTCGGTTTATCCATAAACACTGGGAAGACTCAAATGTTTTCAAGCTGCGTCCCTGCCCTGACCAGGAAAGGGCACCTCTCAGAATTGATGGCTGTCAACTTGAAGAAGTAGACAGTTTTAAATACCTCGGAACGAGGCTGCTGCCGAATAGACGGAGTAAGGAGGACATTGTCTCCCGAATTGATGCTGCCAGCCGGGTTTTCTCAAGTCATCGGAAACGCCTGTGGATCTGTAGCGGCTAAGCAGTGATGGTATATGCTCAGTACGCCACAACTTCAGGCCATATCCCATGTTGGAAGAAGCGGGACGCCAGTTGAAGAGGAAAATGATTTATTTGTTCTGTACAGAATAATGAAGGGAAGGTGGCAACCGGACGAGGATGCGTCCGGCGCCGCGGAGGCGGCGTCCGCGAGAGCGACGAGCCGTGTGTCGCCGAAGGTCGCCGCTGCAAAAGTGTCGTGACAGATTGTTTACGCTAGTGTTCTGGGCTGTTCCCACCAATCAGCGAGAGAAGTTGCGTTGATTGGCTCCGAGCCTACGCAAGGGTAGTGACAAGCCTCGCATGGTGCAGGCAGAGTATCGACCAGATGCGTAGTGCAGAAATTGAAGTGCAACGAGACAAATCGAAGTTGGGCAGACGTGCGTGCTATAGAAGGCTGTCGCTAGGGCGTAGGTGTAGGCGCTAGCGAGAGTCGCGACGTAGCCATTATGGCTGTCCACTACAGATCCGTGGTGACCTCTCCATCGCCACTAAGATTCGCCTGTACCGTGCATCTGTTCGATCTGTCCTTCTCTACGGTTGTGGATGCTGGGCTGTGCGCGTGGAGGACGAGTGAAAGCTGGAGGTATTTGACCACCACTGCTTAAGGACCATCCTTCGAGTGAAGTACACTGACTTGGTCTCAAATGAAACAGTCCGCGCCCGCTGCGACAGCATCGCAAGGGTAGCCTAGGCCATCCAAGAAAGGCGGCTGAGGTGGTTTAGACATGTTCTTCGTCGTCCACCTCAGGAGCTCAGTGCTACTGCCCTCGATCCGGCACCGTTGCCCCATTGGAGGCGTCGAAGAGGGGGTCAGTTAAAAACCTGGCTCGACACAGTTCGTCAAGAAATGGAGGTGGTTTTTGGACCTTGGATATTTGGTCTCCGTCGTTGGTGAAGAGAATGGGTTGAACTGTCCAGATCTGCTGCCGCGGATCGTCACGCTTGGAGAGGTGCAGTTCGAGACATCATCGAGGCCGGTTAGATCAGGCATAATCGCAGCCGTACCAAGTACAAGCAAGTACAAAGACCGAGAGTTAATGTGCGCCCAGTGACTGTTGTAGTAAAGTCATCCTGTCTGCTGTTCCACGCAGCAACCGGCGTCACACTACTGGGGGAGCTAACACTCCGCGAACGTGCGCATACCTTTTCGTCTCTCCCACCCCTCTGTTGTTGAATTTAAGTCCAAATTGTTGGTAGTAGGGACAGTGACGGTAGTGTTTTGCAAGTCGACAAGAGTGCCCCCATTGATGTTACGTCTGGTCACGCGCAGAGGGGCCATCTAGCTCTGTCAGCCTAGTACGCCCAATCCCAGCACCAGACGACTGATAGATGACTGGGACAATGGACTGGTGCTGGGGATGGAAAAGACAGAGTGAGGTCGACTATGACGACCCCGTCTCCACGGCACTCGGCGTATATTTCTCTCTACAAACAAGCCGGCGGGCCATAAAACTGCCACGATGGACGTCGTCTTTCGGGATGACTGAAATGCTACATGGATATTTTACCCATCTCTCCCACGCTTTTTTTCACCAAGTTTAGGTTTACGTTATGACAACACATCTCTGAAGTGTTTGCCAGCGTAGCGATAGGACGTTGTCTTGCTTGCCTTGACAGCCGGTTTCAAGCTTCGCCTCATTGATGACGCCCATAAACTGGTATCAGAATTAAAATTTTTGATATTATCATGAGTAAGTATGGAAAACGCAAGCTGTTTGATCGCCGGAACCATTTCTTTATTCGTCTGAGCTTTCGAACTCGTACAGGAGTCCACCGTCAGAGATAAAAGCAGCAACAGAACAAGCGGCAGTCATAGGAGGTATAAGCCAGCCAAACATCTGTAACGGCAGTCTGAAGGTGACTACGCAGAGCTCTGCATGCCGGCGCCAGACGGACGCTTCGATTGACAGAGTTTTCATTTGAGGTCAGGGCCTCAATCAATTTTCGGCTTGCTTTGCTTCTGGCGTGGGTGATTATCTTCGTGGCTGCAAAGTTTGAGTCGTGACCCCTTCCGTAGGT